TTGCCAAACAACAATGACAACTACAGCCAAAAAATAGCCAGGCGTTGTCATGGGTGCCTGTAGTCTCAGCTACTTGGGAGGCTAAGGCAAGTGAATTGCTTAAGCCCAGGAGTTGGAGGTTGCTGTGAGCTGTGATGCCATGGCACTCTACCCAGGGTGATAGCTTGAGGCTCTGTCTCAAAAAAAAAGAAAAGAAATTGAGTGAAACTCAAACCCTTAGGAAATTCCAAGGGTTTTAGAACCTGTGTGCCAGAAACTAGGAATAAAAACCAAAAATACAAGTTTATTATACCACACATGTTTATCCAACATATAGCAAACAGCCACTGTATTCTAGGCTCTCTTCTAGGATTGCAGATAGGATAAGTAAGAAGACATGATGCATATATTTAAGAAACTGTAGGTGGGGAAACAGACGGTGAAATTGCTTGCAAGCATCAGTCAAATTGGAAAATTCAAACTCTTAAATTTTTAAAACCTGTATACATAGACTTATTCTCCCAAAGACAATCTTCATTCTTACTGGACTTGTTGCCTCGCTTCAGTTTGACATAATAAGATAGGACATTCAGTGGAGGGAGAGGGGAAGATATTAGTTAAAAGGTACAAAGTTTCAGTTAGGATTAATAAAAAAGATTAGGCCTTAAGTGTTCTTACTACAAAATAATAAGTATGCAAGTTTGATATACTTATTAGCTTGATTTAGTCATTTCACCTTTATACATATGTCAAAGTATGTTGTACACCATAACTACATACAGTTTTTATTTTGTCAGTTATACCTTAATAAAGGATGTGTGTATGGAGGGGAGAATAGGGATTTTTTTTTTCTTAAATCCACATGTTACCTAGTAATAGCCAATATCCTAAGTCCTTCAAGAATCTAAAATCATTTACTAGGTTTCAAAATACCATAACTTCCACTAATTTTATAAAAATATTCTTAAAAGTATCTTATATAGGGTGGCGCCTGTGGCTCAAGGAGTAGGGCACCAGCCCCATATACTGGGGGTGGTGGGTTCAAGCCTGGCTCCGGCCAAAACTGGGGGTTGGGAGGAAGTTTTTTTTTTTTTTTTTTTTTGAGACAGAGCCTCAAGCTGTCCCCCTGGGTAGAGTGTCATGGCATTACAGCTCATAGCAACCTCCAACTCCTGGGCTCAAGCGAGTCTCTTGCCTCCGCCTCCCAAGTAGCTGGGACCACAGGCGCCCGCCACAACGCCCGGCTATTTTTTGGTTGCAGCCGTCATTGTTGTTTGGCGGGTCCGGGCTGGGGATTTGAACCCGCCACCTTAGGTGTACGTGGCTGGCACCTTAGCCGGTTGAGCTATAGGCGCTGAGCCAGGAGGAAGTATCTTATATGGAACTCCTTGGAGTATAGTAGAAAAAGCCTCTGTATACTAAAGTCACAAGTTTTTCTTAACTAGATGTTCAATAAAAGCTTAGTCTCTAGTACCGGCTACCTACTCTGTAATTCTCTTATGAGAGAGAAGCCACTAATTTTAATGCTAAAGCCACTAATTTTAGGGTGAAGCTAATCTTAACCGATGGGGATTAGAGTAGATGAGTTTATCTCTATGGACGTTACAGCTGTGTTGGGTAGAGCTGGTGGAGGGAAATAAATAGAAATGGTTTGTATCTTGTCAAGATAAAGATGCTATTGTGGAACTACAAATTTTATAGTAATAAATGACATACTGTTGTCAAAAGAAATTTACAATTCTCTTATTTAACTTTTGGGTTGCTTATATTACTTCTTACCGTTTTATTCTCTGTGATACATATAGGTTGTATATGTGTAGTATATTAGTGCCATGTCAAGAATTCTTTGTGTTGTGGTTGTTCTTAAGGAAGAGTGGTGAATAAAGGAGGTTGTTTTTGAGGAAGGATGGTGAATAAAGTCATTGAGCCATCCTTAGCTGCAGGAGAACCAGAGAGATCTGTCTGTGTTGATGTAGCAACTACACATTTGAATGGGATGTCAGGTCATTCATAGTAGGAAAGTGCAATAAACTCAACCCTGTACACCCATGTTTTTCTGTAACTGTGATGGAAATTCCATTAGTTGTATCAAAATCCCTCTTTTTATGGATTTATTTCTTTGGATATTCAGAGGCTTTCAGACCATTCTTTTTTCCCTTAAGCAATTATTCTATTTTGATGAGGGTTCTTTAATTCATTTAATAAATATTTATTAAACACATACTGTGTGCTTTGTGCTGAGTGCTGGGGATATTATGTTCATTTGAACATAGTATCAGCTCCCAAAGAAATTTGCTGTCAGATGGGAGAGTCAGAGACGTGACTAGGCAATCACAGTACAGGGTAAGAACTGAGGAATTAAAGATCAAGGAAGACAACTTTATGGTTTTTTAAAAATTGAACCACTATGATTAAGTAGAAAGAGGACTGATTTAAGCATTATTTATTTGTTTTCAAAGCCTGATTCAGTTGCTTAATTGCCATGTGACTAGAAAAATTAATCTCTGTGATACACGCAAAGTTGTTCTAAGTTTTAGCACTTAGCCTAGTACCTAGAGAATAAATCATTACTTTCTTTTTGCGAAGTCGTATATCCCAAAATTATAATTCTGAAGCCTATAAATACAAAGATAATTTCTCAGGCCCCTACTTGACAGGAGATGTGAAAAGTGGAAATAAAAGAAAAAAACAAAAAAAAATATTTTTAAGATACTTTTTGAATACTCTGCTTATATTAGTAGAAATCAGATTTTATAATTGTTTCTTATAAAACTTACCCAAAATTCCACTATTAAGGAGATACTGTGTATAAAACTAACATTTTAAGAATTTACAATATTGCTTATAAAATGTTACTACACTGGTAATTCTGTAATCAACTGTCTCATCAGTAAATTGATTAATAATACATTTTCTTAAGACTCATTGATACACTTTCAATTTTATATATTTGAAGAATTTAAAATCTGCACTATTTGGGAAATACCATATAGTATTTAGAAATGAAGTGAAATAGCTAAAGAACTTACTTTTAACTAAAAATAATTTTTTTCATACCCTTGAAATTAAGTAGTGTAACTGTTGCTAAAAATAGAAACTGAAATTGGTGTAACAACAGCACAGTTTGTAATTCTTCTAAGGTATGACAGTGTTAGAGTTGGTATTACAGTACAGAGAAAACAAGTATTACTTCATTATGTGGCTAATCTTTCCAGTTTTGCTATACTTTATATAATAACTGTTCCAGATTTATTTGTTAAATCTGTTATAACTGTATCTTTAAAATAAGATGAGCTAAAACATTATTCCTTATCAAAAGCATGAACACAAGATATGAACTGAACGTAGAAGTGTTCTCTATATATTTTATATAAATCATTCTAAATCATAAATGGGAAATAGTAATCAAACTAATAGTTATTTTCCTACCAAAAGGCCCATTGAAGTAGAGGAGGGAAAAGGGTGGGAAAAAGCCTGAGGATTGCACTGGCAGGAGGAGCACAGTGGGTGAAGATAGGAACCACTTCCTTACACCCCTGCCAGATTCATGAGAGTAATGGTGCATTTGCTTTTTGTTGCTGTTGTTACTTCTTAACCTTGTCATGAATACATTACTGTTCATGTGGCACTTCTTTTGCGGGTTCTCACTTAACATTACTTTCTTTATCATGGCTGAGCTGGATTGTCATTGGGCAAGTTAGCACTATTTACCTGTACCTGACTGATAAATGGCTTCCTGAGGAGTTGGCATGCTTATTTTTTTCGCTCTTATTGTGTCTTCCCCCATCCCACTCAACCAAATATAAAATGGTAGATATCCAGAAGTTCATTATAACTGGTCTATAGAAGTTTTGTTTTGATTTAGCTTTGTCTGGGTTCTTCCCCTTTCCCAGTAGCAAGATTTCACACAGTGGAAAGGAATAGTTTTATCTTCTTTTTCCCAGAGATGCCTTTGTCATCGGGAAGTCTCTTGTTTGAAAACATTAAGGCCAACTAAGGCAATTCATTTTATTTATTAAATTTTTACTTTAATAAAAAGTAAAGACTTTTTGTAAGCTTCCTAACACTGTGGTATATGGTATTAAAGGATGATTCAGTGAAGTACATAAAGCTAGTGGGATTGTGAGAGTAAAATAGTCAAAAATATTTTCATCACAACTTCTGTTTAAATCATATAACAATGCTTATCTTCCAAATATTCTCTTGTAAAATGTAGTTAATACAGGTAACTTTAACTATGGGATAATTACTCTTACCTTGGATAAGATGTGTTGCTATTAGAACATTTAAATGGCTTTCATTCTGAGTTTTAGATTGTTAAAATATGTCTCAAGACTAAACTTTGTAATGTGTTACATTGTAGGTCAGAAGACATGTCTTCATCTACATGGCATCTTTCCTTACCTCTATGTGCCATATGATGGTTATGGACACCAGCCAGAAAGCTATCTTTCTCAGATGGCATTCAGTATCGACAGAGCACTTAATGTGGCTTTAGGCAATCCATCTTCCACTGCTCAGCATGTGTTCAAAGTGTCATTAGTATCAGGAATGTAAGTATATGATAATATCTTTAAACATTTTTATTTGTGTTTGTATTGCTATTATAAAGGAAAACATTTCTGATTGAAATATACTCTGTTCATATTTCTTTTACTTCTGGTTTAATGGAACTGTAAATTTCTTGCTGTTAACTTTCTAAAGTAAATTTTTATTGAATGAAAAATAGAAACAGTCACTAGTAGGTTCGGCACCTGTGGCTTAAGTGGCTAAGGCGCCAGCCACATACACCTAAGGTGGCGGGTTCGAATTCCCAGCCCGGGCCTGCCAAACAATGATGGCTGCAACTAAAAAATAGCCAGGCGTTGTGGCAGGCGCCTGTGGTCCCAGCTACTTGGGAGGCAGAGGCGGAAGACTTGCTTGAGCCCAGGAGTTGGAGGTTGCTGTGAGCTGTGATGCCATGGCACTCTACCCAGGGGGACAGCTTGAGGCTCTGTCTCAAAAAAAAAGAAAGAAAAAGAAAAGAAACAGTCAGTAGTGATTTTTATTTTTACTTCTTTCATGTCTTTGCTTCATAGAACAGTAGAAATTCATATAATTCATTTAGCAAAATTTTTTTTCCCTTTTTTTTTTGCAGTTTTTGGCCAGGGCTGGGTTTGAACCCACCACCTCTGGCATATAGGGCCGACGCCCTACTCCTTTGAGTCACTGGCGCCGCCCCATTCAGCAAATATTTATTAAGTGTCTTCTCTGTGCTAAGTGTTATTCTAGGAGCTTATGGTATATTGCTGAACAAAACAAAGATTCTAGTAGTGGGAAACAGATAATAACCCCTACATATAACCTAAAATAAATTTACTTATTTGCTATATGATAATCAGCACTATAGAAAAAAGATGTAGAGTAGGATAAAAGAATAGTCAGTAGTTTGTGGGGTAATCAGAGAAGGTCTCTATGGCAACATAAATGACATTTGAACAAATAGCTGAAAAGGTAAGGGAGTAGGAATAGCATGGTGGCCAGATAGTTGGAATGGAGGGAGTAAAGGAGAGCAGGATGAAATGAAGTTAGAGAGGGATGAGAGGATGGAAATCATAAAGGCCCATGGTTCTCTAAGTATGGTTTCAATACTTTGGTTTCCACTATCACCAACATTAGTTTTACCCAGTTTAACAGCCATAAGAATGTACCTCTCAGATCTGTAAATTACAGGGAGTATGATTTAATGGTCCCAGCTACCACATGCTGAAATCTAATTCATTTCTTCAAAATAGCTGAAACTGCTTTCTATAGGTTACTCTTACCCAGTGACTGAGCATGGCAAAGATACTAAGTCAGTTCTGTTCCTAAAAGACTCTTAAAGACTCCCCCAACAACATTGCTGTACTTTAGTTGGAATTACACGGCAGTAGAAGACACTTCACAAATTCTCCAGTCCTCTCTCCTTTGCTTGAGGATCAGACTTGTATCTGGTCACTGCGCCAGTTTCTTCTGGCTCTCTCTTTATTTTCTCTCACAGGTAATTCCCCTGATAAATTTCTTGTACATTTGGCACTTCTCGGAGGACTTAGATTAAATACCTGGGAACATGGTAGAAATACATCCCACTTCACATTTGCTGAATCAGAAACTCTGGTGATGGAGTCCAGCAGTTATGTGTTTTAATAAGGCTTTCTGATGATTCTGGTAGCTGCTAAATTTTAGAAATCACTGCATAGGCTATTCTAAGGACTTTGACTTGTACTCTAAGCTATTATATGGTTTTGAGTAGCCCAGGTCTGACTTAAACTTGAAAGGATTACTTTAGTTACTGAGTTAAGAGTAGATTAGAGGCCAGGCATAGTAGCTCACATATACAGTCCTAGCACTCTGAGAGAGCATGGCAGGATTGCTTGAGTTCAGGAGTTCAAGACCAGCCTAAACAAGAGCAAAGGCCTCATCTCTACAAAAACAGAAAAATTAGATGAGCACACCTTTCAGCTATTGGGAAGCTGAGGCAGGAGGATTGGTTGAGCCCAGAGGTTTGACGTTTCAGTGAGACAAGATGATGCCACTGCACACAAGCTAGTGTGGCAGAGTGAGACTCTGTCTCTTTAAAAAAAAAAAAAAAAAAAGAATACATTGGAGGGGAACAATGGTGGAAGCAGGGAGAGCTTTTGGACTCTGTTTCATTAATCTGGGCAAGAAAATATGGTGGCTTGAACTGGGAGAGTAGCAGGGGAGTAGTAGTGTGAAGTATTCAGCTTATGGGTCTGTTTTAAAGATTAAGTCAACAAGATTTGCTGTCAGATTGGATGAGAGTTGTCAGAGAAAAAAAGATGAGTATAAAATTTCAAGTCTGAGGCCGGGAGTGGCAGTTCCTACCTGTAAATCCTCTAGCACTCTGAGAGGCTGAGGCAGGTGGATTGCTTGAGCTCCTGAGTTCAAGACCAGCCAGAGAACAAGAGCAAGACTCTGTCTCTCAAAAATAGGCTGGCATTGTCCTGTGTGCCTGTAGTCCCAGCGACTTGAAAGGCTGAGACAAGAGGATCTCTTGAGCCCAAGAGTTTGAGGTTGTTGTGAGCTATGACACCGTGGCACTCTCCCCAGGGCAGAGTGAAAACTCTGTCTTAAAAAAAAAAAAAAATCAAATCTGCACTTCTAATAGGATAGAAAGTACAGGTGAAGCAGACTGGCAGGAAAGATCTTGAGATCATACTGGAACATTTGAGTGTTTTTAGTGTCTTGTGTGAAATCAATGGGAAGACCTTAAATTTGTCTGCTTTCCTCTACTTTAATCTAGGCTTTCCTTTGGACCATTATAATACACTTTTAATTGCATTCCCATTTTCTTTTCTGTTCTTGTCTTACTCCAGAGAAGCAAAAGTACTCTTCTGGTACATAAATGATTTAAAAATCATTTAAAGTCCTTGGTTGGCTTCATAATGTTTATAGAATAAATTTAAAATTCTAACTACAATTTATGTGTGATTTGACCCCAGCCTACATCTGTAACTTTGCTTACTATGTTCTGTCTAGCAAGAATGGTCTTCTTTAGGTTGCCCTGAGATGCCAAGCTCTTTCCCACGTAAAATTTTTAACATGAAATTCTCTTTTCTTGACTGTTTAACCATTTTCCAATCCTTCAAGTCATTGACCTCTTTGGAGTTTTCTTTGAATGTCTCACTTAACATAAGATATTTTAAATAGGGTACTAGTATTATTATGTTATATCTCTCAGCCCATTCTTTTTCTTTAGCACTTAATGTGGTTTGCAATTATTTTAATTTTGTTTATTTAATTTTTACACTTTTCTCCATTAGCATGGAGGCTCCATGAGAAAAAGGGTCAAGTTTGTCTTATTTATTATTATATCCCTAGCACCTCATCCAGCTCAATAACTGTTTGGTTAATAAATAAGTTGAAAGTTCACATGCATCCTGTGACAGTAGCAGTTATGGTAGATAATTGTGAACTTTATCTTCTAGATTTTTAGTTCTTCATAGTTTCTGAGAACTTTCTAAACATATTCTAATTTTGAAGTTGGATCTCCAGACAGCCCAGTAAAATAAACAGTCACCAATCTTTCTATATTTTTCATTTATATTTCTTAATGGCCTTGCCACATTTTTGGAGAAAAATCTGGATACATGAAGGTAAATGATGCGCTGTTTAATTTTTGGTTGCCAATTCTCTTTTTCCTTCTAATTAAAAAAAGTGTTTTCTTACCTAGATCCCCTTCTCTTACCGTCTATTCTACCTTCTCTGATTCCTTTACTCCTTTATTTCAGTTACTTTTTGAAGGTAGATAAGGTTGTATCTAGCTATCAAATTAACTCTTATAAAGTTTAACCATTTTTTGGCTCAGCGCCT